GTGTGTGTGTGTGTGTGAAGAGATAGAGACAGAGAGAGTGTGTGTGTATGTGTGTGAAGAGACAGAGAGAGAGAGACAGTGTGTGTGTGAGCGTGTGTGCGTACCTGCGCGCGTATGCATGTTATGTATTTAAATGATTTGTAATGTTGTTAATTCAGGTATGCGTTCTAAGAGATTTTCCACTTCCTCATAAGAATGGGTTTTCAACCATTCACTTAACGCCTTCTTACAGTCATATAGTTTCATGGGATAAATTCGTAACGTTTTGTTGATGGAGTTGTAAATATAACAAGCTTGCGAGTTGTACTATCGACTGGCAAATGCTGTTCGGACAGTGCGTGAATATGTTACGATATCATTTCTTCGTTTATTTTGGTCAAACGGCAACGATTTATGTAGTCTTAGGGTCATGTTCAGAATGTACAGCTTACTGACACTCAAGAGGTTGCTGATCCTATATAGTAGATCCTATACATCTGTGGAAACTCTAAAAGCTTTGAAATACATGACCTTCAAAGGGGCTCTTAGAGCTCTCTCCAAGTCAATAAACTTCATCCTGGTAGCTCCCCCCCATACTGGTAGACAGTAAACAATAACTGACTGAACAAGAGCTACATAGATTTTGGTTAATAGCTCTCTATCCATTACGTCTTAAGGTTAAAAATCCATGCAAGTTTCCTTACTCTACCCATAATCAGTTCCAGATGGGAATGCCACGAGTCTTTGGTCAATTATAATTCCCAGATATTTGGCATAGCTGACCTTTGTAATAATAATAATAATAATAAAATAAACATAATAATAATAATAATAATAACACTCAACATAGCGCCGCACTAGGGAAACCCTGTGTCGCGGGTGCCATGGATACACATATGAGACAACCATTATATAAATTACACCCAAACTCACGAGAGAAATAAATGTAGGTCATACAAATATTTCTCCCGGCCCGGGAATCGAACCTGGGACCTCTGCGTGGCAGTCCGGCATGGTAACCGTTCTGCCACAGAGGCAGTTAAACATAGGTGAACAGTTGCAGATTTGATTGGGACAATCACCACAGGTGTGGATCTTTATTACAAAGTCAATCGCTGGCTGAGAGTTTATGTGGGGAGCAAAGCAAATATAGTTTGTTTTTGTTACGTTCAGGGTGAGGAGATTAAAATTAAAGAGAGTAAAATAATGAAGATGTGTGGATACGAATAAGCACCAATTTTAACTTATTTAATCAATTTATCTTTTGAAACAGTTGTGTTGCCTGATATATTAAAAAAATATATTATTAAACCTATATACAAAACTGGAGATGAAGCTGATATAAGCAACTATCGACCCTATTACGCTAACACCGGTCTTGTCTAAAGTATTTAAAGGGTATGCCAATTGTACGACTACTGTGTGAAATTTAAGATTTTTAGAGATGAACAATATGGTTTCCAAAAGGGAAGGACAACGTCAGATGCTTGTTTCAGTCTGACTAACGCTATTACACAAAGTTAAGATAAAAAAGCATGTAACATCTCTATTTTTTATGTCTAGAGCATTTCATTTTGTGTTTCATTATTACAAAAGCTTGAGCGTTGTGATGTTCGAAGCTTAGCTCTGCTGTGGTTGGACTCTTTTTTGAAGAATAGAATTCAGAGTGTCGAAGTGCACGCAATAGGTGATCATAATATTCAATCAATTTATAACTCAGAATACTAACATAATAAACTTGGTGTCCCACAGGGTAGTGTCTTGGGTCCCTTATTATTTATTCTATACATTCATGATCTACCTAAAGTGACGAACCATAACTGTGTATTATTTGCAGACGACTTATCTAAAATCTAAGTCAGTCTAAGTCTGAATAATGGAATGGCTTAATAACAATAATTTACATGTAAATCTGACAAAAAGATATTACATTCAATTTGCTTTAAAGAGAAAGTGACAACTTAATCTAAATGTACATTATAAGAATCAAAAGATTTGTACAGCTGGTAACAAATAATTTTTAGGTCTGTGGCGGGACAAAAATCTTAATAATAACAGACATATTGATAATCTATGTAAGAGAATCAATAAATTTGTACATGTGTTATGCAGGCTGTCCAAAACAATATCTTTGGAAGTGGCGTTATCTGCTTATCATGTTTATATAGCGTCAGTTATTCGCTATGAAATTATGTTTGCATAGCACAAAAGAAATGCATACGAGCGATTTGTGGTATTGGTCCCTTGCTTACTTGCAGGCATGCAGGACTCTTTTTCCCAAACTGAGAATATTAATTGTAGCAAGTGTAAATTTTAGAGTTATGTAAATTAGTGAAACAAAGACCAGGGGCCTTACCATGAACTCTTATTACGATTCAGTTTAGGACCTAAAAAGAAATCGTGGTGAGACAGCGTTACATGAAGTGTATATCACCATCCCGTTTTTTTGTCGTTATGAACCTATATAAGACTGGTGCTAAACAATTGTTCACAGACAACATTATTTCAAAGAAATTGCTATAGCATGGATGTTAAGATTTTTAATAAAATACCGAATAATTTGAAACTATTGCCGACAAATCAAGTGTGTACAAAACTAGAAAATTGTTTCTACAGCGTGAAAGAATTTTTAGAATACATTTAATAAATTGATAACACTGTAGTACATATTAGTATTAATGTCTTAGTGTAACTTAAGTTCGAATTTTTACATGCCGACGATCGGTAAGTTATGCTGCACTAATTATTAACTCATTTGTAAACTTTTATTTAACCGCATTTTATGCAAATAAAAATCATTTCATTTCATTTCAAATGACGGGCAACTACTCGCCTCAATGTGACTCTTATATAGCTGCTAGGGGAAATTGGAATTATGTGCATACCTATAAAAAATATTTTGTCGAAACACACCGCCTCTACCTACAAATAAAAATGACGGAACTGTTTTCGTTCCTATTTGGCAGTTATGTCCGTGACAGTCTACACATCGCATCTTTGGCTCTTAGCCCATTGTGCATCTGCTATAATGGAATCGCTTTTACATAATTATGTTTTATTAAAAAAATAATATACATGTCATATTGTTTTGCATAGGCTCTATCTCCATCCCAACTTCGTGATGAACGTCCCCCGCTGCCGCCTAAAACAACACCGCCTGTTCCACCGCCCCGACGACACAAGGTATAACAATAACTTACCGCATTCATATTATTTCACATATGCATACAGTTAAAGCAAGGTACCTACTGAATTTGCAATTTGTTACATAGCTCGCCGGCGACCGATCGAGTGCCAGCCCTATGCCTCCTGGACTAGACCAACGTAGAGCGACTGTTGGGCACGTGCCTACTATGCCGAGCCACTCCATGCACTTGCAAATGTCTTCAGTCAACAGCCACTTGACGCAACAGCAAGCCCTTCCGTCAAACTTACAGGGCAAACCGCATTCCTTTCACGCGGCGCCCCCCACACAGGCGGTGCATGCCCACGTAGGCAGTATGCCATATCTACCCGCTCCCCCCCAAGCGCCACCGCTGCACATGCACGCCAACACTCTCCATCACAACATGCCTGGGTTGTGGGGTCGCATGCGGGGTTCCCTGCAAGGATTCAATGTGCCATCGACAATGGTGAGTAATGAAAAACGTACCTGATCGGGAAACGGACGACAGCAGAGTGTCTCTAAAACATCATGTGGAGCTAATTACTAGTATATACGTCAATTCATTCACAGGGCATGCCGTCGGAACCGTGGGAGAGCCCCGGAAGCATTTCACCGTCAGGGCCGAGCTCCTCATGGGGGCCGCCACTGCGGCGTAATGCGTCTGTACTGGAGTTGGGCGGCGGCACCGCGTGCAGCGGCTGCGCACATTGCTCGCCCGCGAGCTGGCGCTATGGCAGCTGTGCCAGCTTAGAGCACGGTTGGCCACCCGCGTGGCCGCCACCGCCCACTTGTTGCGCACCACCACACGGCCCTCATCTCTCACACATGCACCCACACACGCACTTCCATTCGCCGCATACGTCACAGCCCTATCGTAGAGGTAAGCGGACAGTAGGGTATGGTTGCATTAGTCGTACTCCCTAAGAAGAAACCGCTGTAATATTTAAGGTTATATAAATTAAACAAGACCTTCAGCGTTTACGGGATCTCTATTTATTTTACTATCAATGTGTTTTAATGAAAATACCAAAAACGTTTGTTGACAAGATTTTCAAAAAGCACCTTAGGTACGATTTAGGCACCTGGTCCCCTAATTCGTACCACCTATAAACTAAGTCGTACTTAAAATAACTTTTTTTTAAATATATCATAGACACACGCTTGGCCAAAATCTCACCTGATGTTAAATATTACCGAACACTTAATATTACCGAATAATACCAAAAACGTTTTTTGCGTCAAGTATTGACAAGATTTTCAAAAAGCACCTTTGGTACGATTTAGGCACCTGGTCGCCTAATTCGTACCGCCTATAACCTAAGTCGTACTTAGTATAACACTTTTTTTTTATATATTATAGACACACGCTTGGCCACAATCTCACCTGATGTTAAATGTTACCGAACACTTAATATTACCCAATAATACCGAAAACGTTTATTGAGTCAAGTATTGACAAGATTTTCAAAAGCACCTTTGGTACGATTTAGGCACCTGGTCGCCTAATTCGTACCGCCTATAACCTAAGTCGTACTTAGTATAACACTTTTATTATATTTTTTTATTATTTTATTATATAATAGACACTTCAGTCAGAACATCATAAAGTACAGTACTAATAAAAAGATATCATAATAACAATTAAAATCTAGAAACAAGTACTAAGGTCTAAGATGGATAAAATCAAATAATTCTTAATGTTTTTGAAGGGAGAGAACAATCCCGAAATCTCTTGTGTAAGGGAACACAGAAAACAAAAATTTTAAACTCTTAAGAAATAGAATTATGAATTGTAATGAAATAAAATTATAAATAAGTGTTTCTGAAATAAAATTATAAATTTAATTAATTACATAACATTAACATTTTCCAGAAATGATGTTACAAATTGTAATGAAATAAAATTACATATAACAATATAACATGCTTCGGTAATCAAATAAAGGTATATTATATAATAAAGGCACTACAAAATTAGTTTTGTTGAACACATATAACACAAATATATTATTTAGCTGTAAAAACTAGGAAATCATTTTCATAAATTCCTAAGTCGTTCCGGTACGACTAAGGAATTTTCCACGGGTACGATATATAAGATATAATATAATAAGATACATATAATAAGCAACGACACTTTCAAAATTTCAAATCAAAATTACTGTTATAACATAAAAAGATTTTGCGTTCGCTTGTGCTAAAATAAATGCTAAAATACGTCAAAAATAGACGAATACCAAAAAAATAGGTTTACTATATTGCTCCTTGGAATAGCTTCCGAATGAATGATAACTTTTAAAGAAAACAGTGCAAAAACTTACTTTTTCATATTTTTCCCAACATGGACGTCGGCCGGCCACCGGTTTGTTTTTGTTTACTCGTTTAACTTAATAGTTCAAATTTATGTTACTAGATATTACTTCCCACGCATGTGAGACCAGATATCGCTGGAGTACGACTTAGGCGGTGGTACGACTAACGCAACCTTACCCTATAGTATATTTCTCAAGTGTCAACAAGACCTATGTTTTCACAAATCAGTCTTTCAATGGACCGCGTAATACCTTTTTTTTTATTATACTAACTGATGGAACGAACAAGTCGTGCGCCTGATGGTAAGCGCTTAGAACTTTAAATCTCAAAGACCTGACGGGCACTGACACTGCGCCAGTCACCCTGAGACATAAGTTGAAAAGTCCTATGTGCCTGTAATTTCACCAGTACCCCTACCCTTCAAAACCGTAACGCAGGAAAGCTCACATTACTACTTGGCGGCAGAAATAGGTAAGGTGGTAGTATTTCCCTAGACGAACTCTTTCACAAAGAGCTCTACTGCATCTAAATTTTTCAATCGTTTTCAGGGGAAAGTCGAGGGGCATCTCGCGTCGCATCCCGGACTGGATCTCGCGCGGCGTCGCCAGCAATGAGCGCCCGATCACGCACGTCGCGACGCACCAAGCATCGGACACCCTCGCCGCCACCGTTGCCGTCTAGCGACGCGGATTCCGAGAGCGAAAGCGACAGCGACCGAGCCGCTATGCCCGCTCCCGTTGTTCGTACGCCTACCCGTGAACCGGGTCGAGCGATCTCTACGCCTAAACCACCAGTCGCAACTGGTCCGCTGCCAACACCCACTCCCCCATCTACTGTCGATCAGATGGAGGAAGACAGCCTTGGACCGGCTCCGCCGCCGTCTGAGACAAACTGGCAGTGTGAACACTGTACATTCGTGAATGAACCTGGCGTGCGCGTATGTTCTGTGTGCTGCCGCACGCCAACGACCGCACCGCGAGTGCTGCCCACCGCCACTGCAGTTGCTGCGACCGTCGATTCCACCGTAACCATAGCCCCTGTAAAAAGTGACCCCAGTCCCGGTTTAGAGCGCCTCAAGCTTAGCTCACCATCTCCTGTTCGCATCGTTCCTGAGAATATTAATCCTAAGCAAAGTTAGTCTCAATATTTTATAAGTTTTAATGTCTTACTTAACAAAACAAACCATTAAATTTTTTTACTGCCTCTGTGGCGGAACGGTTACACTGATCTGCCACGCAATGGTGCCGGGTTAGATTCCCGGATTGGGAGAAATATTTGTATGGCCTACATTTATTTCTCTCGTGAGATTGCGTGTATTTTGTGATTTTCTATGTGCTTAGATCATACAGGACGGGAGGCGCTACTAGCGTTATTTCTCGAACAAAGCTTTTAGCCACTTTTTGAGGAGCGGGGGGTAGTACTACAAGCAAACAGGTGCATTCAAATGCAATATTTAGTTGTGTCACTATAGTCTCCCACAAACAAAAATCGACAACACTTGCTTATTTTTACAAATACACAGATAAAACACACATTGATGTCCGTACACAGAATAGGCTTATAAAAATAAATTGATTCTCATGAATATACTAGAGACGGAAAGTTATCGACGTGACGGTATCGATATGTATTACGAATAAACTGGATGGATTTCTTTTTGCAATTTTGTGAGTAGTGTAACAGTGGTATTGTTTTACTTATATTTGCCAGAGGAGATTGCCCATTGACTTACCAATAAATGAATGACAATAAATACAATCCAAAGTCGAATCCAAAAACCGCGAAAAAATATCCCGAGTTTTTCTGACTTTTCGCGGTCAGCGTTAGAGACAATGACAAGCATGGCCGGGTTAACCTATACAAACGTAGTGGCATGTATAGAAATATAAAAAAAACTAAAACATTTAATTTAAATTGTAAATTATTAATACAAAGATTGAACACTCAGAAAAAATTCCTTCGATCCGGCCGGATACGAACCGACGACGCTACGACTAAAAAGTCGTTGAAAAACCAAATACAAAGATACGATAACAAGCACATAGAAAAATTCGTGAGTTCCGCTGGTCCGTTCCGTGGCTTAGTTGGTATAGCGTCTGCCTCGCTTTGCTAGAAGATGTCGGTTCGAATCCGGCCGGATCGAAGGAATTTTTTCTGAGGTTGGATCTTTGTATTAATAATCATAACAAACTAGTGGAGTAATTTCACAAAATATAATTGAATATCAATTCAATAAAAATTTGAATTTTAAAGTCATTGCAGTATTGCTTAATTTTGTTTGCCACAATTTAAAGACCCAAAACTTATCCATATTCAGCTTCTACTGAAAAATAACAAAATGCACCATGCATACCAACTAAACGTAAACTCAAAGTTTCCTAATCTAGAAAACTAATTTATAACAAAACCGTTATGCTTTCAGGGGATTTTGGTTGCTTATTACAAAGAAACGATTAAGTCAGTTTGTTTTGTAATATTATTAAAATAATCTAAAAAAATACATTTGGGATTACAAAAATTCGAGCAAACATTTCAGGCAAATGTATTTTCGGACTTCTGGTTGATAACTCCAAACAGTAAAACGAATACAACAATATTTTGTTGGTTATTTATTACTAACATTTAATAAAAAGTCATTTTAAAAATAAGATTAACATTTAGTGAACTCTGTAGTTTCTTTGTTCTAAATCTAAATATTTCAATCACTTGTGGTTCGAAAATTGAAATTGACGGAACGGGTCCCTTTCTGTCTTTTGTGCATGTCTTGTGTAGGATAAGGACAGTTAGCTATTTGGTTATTTTGATAGCTTTTGTAATTTATGTGTATTGTTTGTAAGTATGTACTCGTATATGTACTTTTTATTTATATATTTTTTCTTACAGTATGGCATGATTTATATTAAAACAATTACAATTTATTTTCATTATTTATAATTAATTACATTATTATTTAATATATAATACGACGGAGAAATCAATTGTGTAAAATTCATTTCATAATCTATCTATAAAAATCGGAGTTAAAAAGCAAGTTCGCTTCTCTATAACAAAAAAACAGCGTTCATGAAGAATTGCATTTTTTGTCTGTGGTTGCCTGTCAGTAATTAAGGAACTTCATAGGCATGCTTAAGTGAAATGCTTCGAATGTTTTCAAATATTTTCTATGTAATTTATTTGTAAGTCAATGTATGTGTAATGTAAATCGATAAATTTAATCAATGTGATTGATCATTGTTAAAAAAATGTGTAAAATAAAAAACTAGTAATTAATGTAAAAAATAGACGTATAAATGGAATGTAATTCCATTCTTGGCTAGACTGGATGTAGCAGAGATGTTTTTGCTGTTTGTATGTTGCAAGACGACATATTTCATGGACCACTTGACGCGGTGAATTCGATTATGCAAATGAAAAAACATCGATTTGAAAGTAGTGTTTATTGTGCGATGGTTGTTTTGTGCTTGTACCTTGACAGAGGGGATTGCCTATCAATATCCAGTCCTATATGCTCTAAATGTATGTGTGTGCCCATGGCATTCGCAACACAAGGTGTCCCTAGTGCGGGGCTATGAGTGTGAGCAAAAAACAATAAATAAACTGCTTTTTCAGATGCCGAAAACACTAAGACTAAACCGGTAAAATCTCGTGCGTCGACGAGCTGTGGTCCCTCTCCTCCGCGAGAGGCGCTGCAAAGACCCATCAATCGATTAATGACTCCCACAGGGGACCAAACTGGGCGTGAACAAGTGGAGGAACCGAAAACTCGCCATGATATGGCTGTCGGACCATCGCCACCTCGAGATTTCCAAAATACTAGACATAATATGGGTACTGGAACTTCCTCTCCTCGTGAATCCAATGCATTCGTTCGATCATCGCCCTACCGAGAACCTAACGTTATTAAAAGCCCCGACGAATCAACCCCACGCCACAGCGTGTCCTTGGGACCCTCGCCGCCCCGTGATCTTGGGTTCCAGTCTTCCAGGAATAACACCCTGAAAAAGTCGTCACCACCACGAGCAACCTTTCAAGAAAATAAGTCTTCTGTGTCCACCCGGACCAACGTATCCAATACCGGTACGTCTCCACCGCCGCAAAGTATCTCTACCCAGGTAATAGACGTAATATAAATAAAAAATGTTTTCACTCAATAATTTACGTTCAAGTGTAGTATTTAGCTAATTAAGACGCGTTCTTTCATAGACATACGAAGTGCCAAACAGCTGGGAACGCGTGCCGTCAGCTTCGCGCTCACGCCCTCAAAGACGCTTCCGAGACGACAGTCGTCGCGAACGGTCGCACAGCAGACATTCGCTATCAAGCGACACCCGCGTAAGTTTTTGCTTTACCGATTGTAAAATGCGCTCTACCTTAATTAAAGCAAACGTTTATATGAACACAATAGGATAGCGAGCGAAGCGTACACACTAGTGGCGGCGGGCGGTGGGAGTGGCGCGAAACTCGTGACAGTAGTCCTGGGGGTGAATGGAGCGGCAGTGAACGGCGTCGCGGCGCAGCGCGTCTCGCCCGCCGAGCTTCACACCTTGACCTACGCCGCACTCGCTCTATGCGTCGTTCCAGCTTCTACGGCTCAGAGGTACAGCTCTCGATATAGCCACCAATTGTAAAATATCAAATATTTTATTACAGCTACAAGTTATGACTTAGTGATAGAAATATAACGCATACTTCCCGATATAGTCGAAAAAAAATAATTATATCGTTGTACGCGGATAGGTTCCAAAGCAAAGAGAAAAATACGAGACCACCTGAATGTGGAAAATAAAAAAGAGTGATCAACGGCCTGCAAAAACTATAATAGATGCAGGGAATATTTGTGCACTTTTATGAGGTACTCCCTGGTCAATTCGCGCCGGAAGCAAAAATGTTTGCTATTGAAATAAACAAGATGGCCGCCATACAAATTTCAAAATCTTTTATCACGGAATCTATTAGACATAGGTAGGAAGTCCTGGAAGGATGGTCATAAAAGGTGACTCAAGCAGTTACTCTGTTAACTGCCTTAATATTTTAAACATAAGTGCCGAGGCCGTAGGCCTAGATCCAGCGGAGAGCCCGAAGCTTCCGCACGCCAACGTACGTAGGTATTATACGGAAGCTCTACATCTCACAAGTGTTAAAAATGTAAGGCATACTTTCCAATGTAGTGGAAATTAGATACTTATAGCGTTGTTGTATCTCGACCGTCTGTCTGTCTGTTAGATTTCTTTTTCATCCAAGATACGACAAAAATAATTATTTAGGGGAAAAAATGTCAAGCCTTCACACCAAGTTTCTGGTCTCAAATTAGGGAATTTCTTGTACTATGAATACCAGAATAACGATAACTCTTCGGACTGTACCAAGAATACCCAGACCAGAACTAACTTAGAAAGGTTCGTTTCCTAAATTGAACCTCCTCATCAAGCTCCCATGGTACTAACCGCAGTGCCACCGAAGAGCATATGCACACCCCGTAATCTAAATCCGACCATGCGCCGCAGGCCGAACCCGACCCCTCGGGCTAGGGCTCGTTTACTATAAAATAGTCGTTAATCGTCATATGTGATCCAGGCAGCATCTCCGGAGCCTCTATCTTCAAATCGTGCGATCTCCCTGGAGGCGTTGGCCGGTACGGGCGTTAGACGGGAAGCCGAAAGAGGTCTTGAGCTAGCGCGCCTGATGACAGACGCGGAGAGGCTCGGATTCAGCGCCGCCGAGGTGCACGCGGCGTTAGCGCAGAATCCGGTGGCGCCACTGGCGTGGCTGCGTGACCGCTGGCCGAGCCTGTGCGCAGGCGTGCGTGCCGCTGCCGCACGTCTTGCGCCGGGAGTTAATGTCAGTGAGCTGGAAGCGCGCGCAGCGCTCGCCCGCCACCGCGGTGCCATGTGGCCTGCCGTCACCGACTGCGTCGAGAGACACCGCCGACAGGTGTGTGTCCGCTCACAGCATAAAATTACCTTGTTTATATTCATGTTAATGGTCCTCTTGAACTTATTTACAGGCGGAGGCAATGGGCGTGGGCGAGGAGAGACGGTTGCGCGGCCACATTTGGGGCTCGCCGGTGGGCGCGGACGACGACGCCGCTCCACCGCCCACGAAGCCCTCTGTCGCTCGCCGCTCGCTGCGCGCGCGCGGTAATCTCCCTCAACCCGCAAAACATTAAACTGTACACAAGACTTAGCACTCATCGTATCACGTCATAATCTTCACGTTTACATTTCAGCAGAAGATAGTTCAGATGAGTTTGAAGCTCCCATCCCGACGAAATATCGAGACGACGATTGGATGTATTTACCTTTAGATCCGCCGATTCAAAACTCTTACGATATGGAACCCAGTGCCGATTTATGGAACGACTCGCACACGAACGTCCTTAACGAGAATTCTGCAAACAACACAGAGGATATAGCTCTTAAATTGAAATCGTACTTAATACAGGCCGGAGTCCCGTCAATCGACGAAAATTTACTTTTAAATGGCTTATTAGCAGATAACACAACGTTCAAGACGAATCAAACCAATAATGTAAGCATATTAAATCATTCAAATATCTTTAACAATAAACAGCAATTAGATTTGGGCCAATCTGAATTTGATTTCATAGAAGCATATAATGCATTAACAAGGTCTAGTCCTCTACCAAACGTACACAAGATGACAAACGACCTCCAAACAAACAAAGAAAATGTGGCATTAGGTCACAAAGAACACACAAATTTACCTTTAAAAAGTAACAAAAATGGTAGTTCCAATGAAGACAAAATAATAAACCACATTCACGGCCAAACTGAGGATCATCCAGTTGAATCAAAAGTTGAGCGAACTGATATTAGCGAAGAGCACTCAATCATTGCAACAATCAAGATTCCAAAATCTTTAACTAAGCAAAATAGCACTGTAGAAACAAAAGAAACTGTCAGTACACCTATAACTGCAAGAGAATATGAAACAAAAGGTTCAAAACCTGTATTATTAACGAAATTGCAAAAATACAAAGTTCCTCGAACGCATGAAATTAACACTCGGTCGCTTAATTCTGAGACGCTGCCGAAACAAAAAAACAACGAAGAAGGATCTAATAATTTAAGTGACATTGTGGACAATACACAAAGATTAATTCAGCAAATGAAAGATGAAATAAACTCTGATATAAATTCCTTGGATGGTCACAACATGTCACAAAGCGAAGCTGATAACAGTTCAAATGAATCAGATTTTACAAATGAACATGAATCGTCGTATAGCGAAACGGAAGAAGAAACAGAAGATTTAACATCGGAAGAAAATGAAAACTCAAGAAGCGAAAAATCTGAGAATAATGCCCCGGTAATGAATAGGACAAGTTCCGAAGACAATGAACAATTTGAAGAAGCTATGGATCATATTGAAGAACAGAATGAAAATTTCAGGCAAACTAACATGGAAATATTAGACTCTATCGCTCGTAGTTTACATGAAGAACATTCAATATCAGTTGAAACCAGTGAAAATCACATAAAAGAAGCAATAAATGATCCTAGCACTCCAACAGAACATCTAGCTCCCATGACCACTCAAACAATCCCTGTCCAAAACCAAGCAACTAGTTCTAAAAAGCATAAACAAGATGTCAATAATAATATTTTTGCCGCAGTTTCTTCTTTCGAAGAAATTTATGAGCAAATTAATTCTAATGACTCAACCCCATTTGAAATAACCAATAACAGTCTACGTGCATCTAAACCAAAACTTGTATTAGAACGATTTGACATTCATATTTCGACTTTTATGCCAGACCGTATAATGCAATTAGAAATAAAGGAGCAACATCAACCATCTGTGCTAAATGCAGTGTTCGAAAATGTTGATTCCAGCACTACATTACCTAATAACATTGAATTACCTAATAACGTTGAAGAAGTAAGTGAAGTTGACCAACATGTTGATAATAACAACAAGGAATCTGGGTTATCAATGAAATCAAAAACCTTCAATATTCGTAGTTCACCCGATAAAATCGAAAGCACTGACGATGACGATTCAAGTTCCGACACATCTAGAACGACAGTGTCTCCGATGAAACAAAATTTGAACCAAACTCTTATTATAGACAAAACTTTCAGTAATGAAAATACAAATGAAACTGTTGAAACAACGCCCTTAAACGGTTCATTGAATAATCAGAATCATGATTTCGATCATAACATCGAATCTAGTGTTACTAATAATGCCGTTAAAAGCAAAAGTAATTCGCCAGATAATACGCCTCCGAGTCCCAAAAATCATAATAAGAACACTACTAATAACAAATCTAACATTCCGAAGCTAATTAGAGCTTTAGCAAATAAAAATAAATCAAAACAAGAAATTAAAAGCCCTCCTAAAGTAATAGCATCAAAAGTACCTGTGCGTCGAGGATCAGTAAAACATTATCCTGCACCTGCACCCCCGAAAACAAACTTTGGCACTATCCAGAACGGTACTGTAAAACAACTACAAACACGACTGTTTAGTGATAAAGCCATAAAGATGACAGTGAATCATGCAGCAGTTATTGAAGTGAAACCATCAACCTCGACTTTGAATAAAAAAAGACCAGCGCCTCTTCCGCCGTCGAAACCCGAAGAGACAACAAAAACCTCTCCACCAAAAGAGTCACCACAAAAAGGAAAAAAACCCTATTTTCGTGAATCTTGTCGAACGGAAGATGAATGGACTGAAAGTGATTCTGAAGATTCACCATTACAGATCGGACGTCAAAATAACGATGAACCACAACGTCAGCCCTCACCGCCGCCTCCTATCACAGTTCGGAGAGTATCTGGTCAACTAATTGACCTGGCTAGAGTTCGCATCTTGGAAGGTTCACCAGAGGTAAAGTTATTATTTAAATATTGTAATTTTAATACAATGCCGGATTTAGCTGACGTCACAACATGAATACATTTTTTAATCCAGAGACAAGCAAGAATGCTGCTCGCAGAAGGAGCAACGGAAAATTGGGAACAGGCACAATTGGCGGTGGAGCTGATAGCACGCGGAGCTGATACTCCGGCCGCTTTGTTAGCCGCCCTTGAATGTATTGATTTAAACTCAGCATTAACATACCTACATCAAGATTGTGAACTTTGCGCGTCTCGGCTTCCCGAACACGAGGTAGGTATCTAAAATGAAAAATTCTTGTTAAACTATTGCATTAGTGCTCTAACCACACTAAGGCGGTAACAGGAGTGTTCCGATGCCGGGAGTTTTTGTAATGTTGCAAAGCTGTATCCGTTGAGTTTTATGCAACCGTCTACACAGCTTTAGCGAGATTGCACGTCATATTTTTTTTACAACTTGTGAGTGTATTTTTATTAAGTTGCAGTATGAATTCAACCGAAATTTCTTTTGCGTTGCCTCCACACCGCGAATAAAAGCCAAATATTTTCTTGAACACTGACGACAGCGATATGGTACTTTCTTTAAATTTTTATAGAAATAGAAATGTGGTCGCATTTTGAGTGTCACACTGGCCGCCTTCGCGCCGATGTCCCGCAGCGAACTACGCTTGAGACTGCGGTGTAGCACGGCCCGATAAGCAATCGCTTCCCGCTGGTCCGCCCCCGGACCGCTTTTCTCGCTGTACCGCGCCTTTGTGGCCTGAGCTATGCATAGAGTCAATGTACCTACAATGCCTGCCTAAAGATGTTGTGTTGAAAAAAATAACTTATCTTTTAACCAGATGGTATCTATGCTACGGTGCACCCACCGATGCTGCCGAGAATGCGCTCGACACTACTTTACCGTTCAAATAACTGAGAGGAGCGTTGTTGACTGCGTGTGTCCATACTGTAAGGAGCCAGAATTAGAGAACCTACCAGAAGATGCCTGGCTGGAGTATTTTGCTCATCTTGATATTCAGTTAAAAACTTTGATAGACATTGATACCCACGAACTATTTCAAAGAAAGGTATGCGCTTATTTTACCTACCTTGTACATAGTTATTTGTTAACGACGGCTAATAAAAATATTTTTTAGCTACGAGATCGAACGTTAGCAAGAGATCCAAACTTTCGCTGGTGTGTAGAGTGTTCGTCAGGATTCTTCGTTCATCCGAAACAGAAGAAATTACGTTGCCCAGAATGTAAATCTGTTACTTGCGCATCTTGTAGAAAACCTGTAAGTACACGAGCTATTACGAAGCTACTACTGACTTTTGATAATGTTGCGAGATAGCAAAGATACCTACTTCAATGTGATAATTTAAAAGAGCGGAGTTCGAAATTTATCATGGAATTAATAAGACATTATCACTCTACATTAATTGTTGAAACGATAAGAAATAATCAAACTGAAACATTACTTTTATAGTAACTTCTATTTCTTTTTTTTTTTGTACTTAGTGGACCGGAAACCACGAAGGGTTGTCGTGTGAACAATATGCAAAGTGGTTAGACGACAATGATCCGGAACGAGCCGTGGAAGCAGTACAGCAGCACTTGCGAGAAAACGGTATCGAATGTCCGCGATGCCAATTCAAATACTCCTTATCTCGGTAATTTTTTTTATAGAAACATGTTTGGCATACATTAAACTTTAGTTCGATAGCAAAACAAGAAAAACGTACTTGTAAGCAAATGTCAGGGATTTTAGAAAGTTTTACAATTGTATCTGGTCAACAAATAATCTAAAAATTAACACAAAAATAGCTCGTAGCATGCTGGACTACATAGCCATACTTCCTCGGTACAAAATATTATTTCACTTATAATGGAATAGTTTCCAAACTAGAGTAATTATGGTGACGAGAGTAGGAAATTTAAAAAATGTGCAAAGAAAAACAACTTCTAAACTATTATTTTAACTAACCACGACGACGACCAGTGGGCCCAAATGGATAATTCTAGGACATAGGAATAACTTGTGGAGTATCAAGCAAATTTTTTTTTATGTGATAAATAATAACATTCCTAACAACTTTTATACTTGTATAATTTCTTAAAAAGCTGATAGTTTCGGAGAAAAAAAAAATATATTTTTTTTATATAGAGAAAAAGGGTATATTTTATTTTTTATCTCAAAATATGCGAAAATGCAATGTACGTGGGTTACTTACAGTATAGTTTCAATCATTTTCTACGTAAAAGAAATAATCCGTCTGCATGTACTTGCGGCTTTGTAAGTAAAGGTGCAGCAAAATTGTTAATTTTTTTATGTACTTTTTTAACAAAATACATGAGCTTCGACTAAAGAAAAATTAATTTTAGTGTAATTTAAGAGAGCGTTATAACAATAACGCGAATAAGTAGAAAATAGTATATTGTGTTAAAAAATAAATAACAAATCTAAAAATTTACCACCTTTTTAATCGTAAAACCTGCCTGTAGTAGTACCTGCAGGTGGATTATTTTTTTCTTGATAGACAATGATTGGACCTGTACTGTAAATAAACCACACACATTACATTTTCCTAAATTTCGAAATTAAAAATAAAATGTTTATTTCTCCAAACAAATAAAAACTAAATTTTTTTTTCTCTGAAACAATCACCTTTTCAAGAAATTACATAAGAATAAAAGTATTAGGGGGCCTACCACAACATCTTAAAACAATATTACTTTAACCGCTATAAAGTAAGCTTATTGTAACGTTAAAACTACTTTGCGGTAAGGCCCGCAAAAGAAATAAACTTTATACATTGACGTATATCGTTGAATAAGTTTTATAAATATTGAATATTTCAGTTATGTCGTCATATTTTTTATATTTATATATTTGTGGCTTGAGGCTTTAATTTTCAACGACTTTCTCGAAAGCCTCATTGTGTGTAAAAACATTTTATTCTAAATAAAGGTAAAAGTAAATTAAGGCCCCTTAAATGCCTCTTGTACCTTAGTACTGGTAAAAGGGACATATCTGCACTAAACCAAATTTTGCAGAAGAGATTTATATTATTTTGTTATTTCAATGGCTCGAACTTTAATTTTTGCACAGTAAGCATTAATTTATGTAGATCCCCGTAAATCACGCTAATTTGGTTGCCACGACGTTTACGCGGATTTGATTGGGCCACTAAATTACCGAAATGGAAAGTCATAATCCAAAGCTAATTGCGCGTAATTGCACTATCCCCGACGATAAGTAATTTCGCAGATACTGAATAAGATAATGAGTATTTCGTATATTTTGTACATAACAATTATATTCCAGAGGAGGGTGCATGCATTTTACTTGCACACAATGCAAATACGAGTTCTGTTACGGTTGTGGAAAGCCTTTTATGATGGGCGCGCGATGCGGCCTTAGCGAATATTGTGCCAAGCTAGGGCTACACGCGCACCACCCAAGAAATTGTCTCTTCTACCTACGAGACAAAGAACCGCATGAATTACAAACACTGTTACAGGTAATTTTACAAATTAACCGTTAAAAACTCCTGAAATTGCCAAATAATTTATTATTCATATTATTCTGTAGATGAACAATGTGAAATACGAGACTGAAACAGCGGAGGGAAACGCGCGCTGTCCTGTGCAACTGCAGCGAGAGACTCCCACCGGTCTCGTTGACACCACCTGTGGCAGCGAGGTGCCACCTAACTACGCCGGTCTTTGCAAGTACGATTTATGACATAATGATTACTATTAAAAATCACGTACCTACGTGTCACTTATGAAACCTCGGGGCTGACGCAACCTATGCACACAGAGCTGACATTGGACCAACTAGAAATGGCTTAAAGTAAATAATGGGATGTTTTGTAGGAGGAAGGCGCGGAGGTAAGTGCGACGTGTGCTTACAGGAACCATTACCTGGAATACCTGTGCCGGCTGGTGCGAAACGCGCACGTGGACCCGATGCCGCTGTTGGAGGTGGAGGACTTGGAGACGCTCGTTCGCCGTGCCGGACTGCGCCTGCCACCGCGCCCCTACGGCACGCTCGAGGGCATCTTCAAGCGGGCGCTGATCGAGGTGTGTTGATGCCCCCTCTTCTTGCAGGGCGCACTATGTGGAGTATCTTGCGAGCTTGGCGCGCGGCCTCGACCCTATCCCCATCATGGACGTGCCCGAGCTGGTAGCCGAGCTGCGTCGCCGCGCTCTGACTCTGCCGGAACGCGGGCCCTGGGACACTGATCCTATCTATGCCGGAATGTGCGCAGAGGTACACGGGAAGAATAACAGACGTCACATCCAGCAACTTTGCGCCTGGGCAGGGCAGGGCATGACAAACGCAACTAATATTCTATGTAAAGCAATGTTAATCAATATAATCGATACAGCGGCAATAAAACGTTTCTTGTTTCAGATTGTGAGGGAGAAAATACCACTGGATTGAAGGATCAAGAAAACCGTATAAAACATTAAGCGTCGAATATTATATAAACATCGGGATTTAACGCTTCTACCATTGAAACTATTAGCATATGATTAGCATCAAAATATTTAAGTTTAAAAAGTATTTATTAAGCTTTATGGTTATAAACATTAAAAAGCAACTTCATGCAAAGCTGTTTTATTTAAAAAAAATGGAATCAGTTAAAATGTTTGTTTACAATTAAAATGAGTTTTTATTAATTTTTCACTGCATGGAACTTGTATATCCAATACCAAGAAATAATGTCAATGTTAAAATAAAACAGGCCATTACTAAAAGTGAAAGATATTTGTTTTTATTTAAAAATTTTAAATGATTCTTACTAATAATTCTTCCAGCAGTATGACTAAGCAAGTAATATTACTTGATAATTCATTTTGTACTTGCACACTATTTTGAATATAAAATTAATCAGAACTCAATTTTACCTTCTGGCAAAATTTTCATTCATATGTCTCTTGTCACGTTGAATATAGTGTCTATTCGAGTGGATACGGCTTTCAAGCGAATCAGGCAAAGCGCGTGCTTCATTGCCACCTGTGTGTGGTCTACGTGGCTCCTCACTCTCCTTAGCGTCAGCGGCTCGCTGTTGCGCTACTCTACTTTCACGTTGAACTTCACGTTCAGCCCCTGCCGCAGCCATCTCTGCCAATCGTGCTACACGTTCTTGCTCACTTAAGCCTGTCTTCTTAGTATTCCAATATGTGTCAGTTTTGTATCTTTTTCTTTCAGGTGACATTGACCTTCTCTCATTCTCAGGCAATTGTCTCCTGTTATCATGTGATATCCCCATATTACTCACAGAGGAGTTGTTTTTTCTAATGGGTGATGCCCTTCTGTAATTCTGGGGGGATCTATTTCTGTCCAGTACTCTATTACTATCATCATCACTCAAATTATAGCCTCTGTTACTTTTTCTTGACCCTGACAAATTTGCTTTCTTTCTCTTATTCCTATACTCGGTTTCAGAATCATAGTCATCACTCTTCCTTTTTCTGGTTTCATATTTTTGGACTTTAGTGTTTTTAAACTTGGATTTAAGTTCTGTATCACTTTCTGAATCTGGGTAATAAGATTTATTTCTACATTTCATATCATATTTAGACTGGATCCTCGACTTCTTTTCTGATAAGTCACAATCGTCAAGTGACATTTTTTTCTTTTCCTTTGACTTCTTTAGTTTTTTTGCTTTAGCATGTTTCTTTTTCTTTTTCTTTGTGGGTTTCTTTTCATCTTCTGAAGATGAGAAAGAGTCAACCGAGGCAAGTAGTGCTGCTACGTCAACACCATTGTTGCCTCCCAAAGAACTTAATTTTGCTGCTAGTTGATTGTCAAGATCTTCTTTCCTTTTTGCCTTTTTTGTTTTAATCTCTTTCTTTTGTTCCTAAAACATACAAAACTAATTTATTCAACATTTTTTATCAAAATAATAAAAACAAAAGTCAAGAAGTAAACTGTACCTGCTCTTTTCTTAACAACTCTGTAAGTTTTTTTCGATGAAGAGGATTGTTCAAAAGGGCCGCACGAGCTGCTCTCTCACGCTCCTTGACCAGCAACAAAGGATCTTCACGAATTTTACGTGCCAGATCTACTTGCGAATCTCCACTTGACAGCATCATGCTGGAACCAACTACTCTTCTGACAACAGCAGGTATACTGTCTTGTTCCTTGTCTGGTTGATCATAATTCTTTTCAATTGATTTGCCAAGCAAGTATTCTTCCTGTTGTGTCTTCTTGTTTGGTTTCTGAAAAATAGTAACTTATGTTTACTATGTATGACAACAATATTAAATTCCTAAAATAAAAAAAGAAATGTACAACAAAGATCAAAAGAGCAACAAGAACCTAACAAATCCACTTCAATACACAATATTAAATCTCACATCATCATACATCCAGTGTAATCTGTTGCTGCCCGAGCCAGAAGCTCCGGCACTTCTCTTAGCTAATTCATTTAGTTCCGCACGGTCCCTTTCTTCAGCCCTTTCACGTTGCAACTCCTGAATACGTTTTATCTCTTCGGCTGCCGCCTGCTCTGCCTTCCACACTCGTTCCTGATTCTTCATTGTGTTTGGGTGCCATGATTTCTTAGAATTCTGTGAAGCATTCAATAGGAAATGAAATTATTTTTTCCAACCTTCCAGGCCACTGACTGACTGTAAAGACAGTCAGCCATAGCCATGGGATCTGTAAAGGGCTAGAAAGGATGGATGCGATTCGAAACAAGTTTCATTTCCTATTTATACAATCGCAAAAACCCAAGAACACGATAAGCATTTAATACTTTTTTTAGCCCTTACAACAATCTTTTACCATAAATATATATAAAAAAAAACCATTTTGACGAATGGTCAGGCCCAAAAAATCTTACCAAATCACCTCCTCCCATCACGAATTAGTTAGCACAAAATGAGTAAAAAGTAATAATCTTCAATTTACGTATAACATATAAACCTCGTATCACCCTCGTATTAACACACAGTACACAAACTAAATACAAGACACAGTACGACAGAAGCACAGACTACGGACAGATTTTTTTTTTTAATTTATTAAGGCTTTGGCAAAGCCAAAAGCCTAAACATGAAGTTTAATTATGTTTCTGTAAATATGGCCGCCACAAAGAGGATAGGCAATTTGAGGCGGCGCACATACGGCAAAATGACCACTTTAGAGGGTCAAAAATAAATTTTACTACTTAAGTATAAGGTCTAAAATTGCTTGTATTCTTCGAGTCAAGTACCTGAGCCATCGTGCTGGCCAAAAACATCCTTTGTTATACTTATTACAAAGGCGCCCGAGGGTCCGCAAGATAGCATTGTGCAGTGTACGGCTAGTTGCATTCGAAAACGGAAGGCATTACAACCTGTTATTTTCATTCAAATCGTGCGAAAATCGAAATATTTATTATGGACATTGAGGCCACAGGTATGTTTATTGATTAATATATTTTTTCACCCTAGTTATACAAGATATATATTAATTAATGACGGTTTCATTCCGCTCTTACTTTTAATAAAAAAAAAAATCCTAAGGCTTTCAAAAAAAGTTCCGCTTAGTACCGCTTTCTGTCCTAAATATATCCACTTGTGTGTTTGTTGACTACTAATATTCTGAATTCTAGAAACTCAAACCAACTCATTGTGACACTAGACCCTTTTTTTCATAGGTAGTCGGAGTGGACCAACACACTCGGAATTTAATATTAAAAAAATGGATCTGGTTTTGGTGTTAAAAAGCGAAAACTTTTATAAACAACCAACGTCTCAGTGTGTAGAACGATTAACGAGTTACATAATGAACAAGTTTAGTGAATATGAACTGTCAAAAGACTGTGTAAACCAAATCAAGTGCGTTTTGATAGTGTTTGTATCAAAATTGATACAAAAGTGGAAAAAATCGAATTGGAACATGGACAGATTTATAAAAGCCAATTCAAAATGGTTACTAAACGATTTAGTATTGCCAGCAGTAGGCACTTTAAGCTCGAACACTAATTTGCAAGTGAAAAAGACCAGAGGCAGACCTGCAAAACCTTTTGAAGAGAGCTCTTTACGAACAAAACGCAGGGTGATGAAACCACTTGTTTCTGAGACAAGCCCAGAGCTATGTTCTGCTGCTCAAGCCAGCCTTACTAAGAGTGGAAAGAAGACAGCTGCCAAATTAGTAAATTTAGCTTTAACTACGAGCCCTAGGAGATACAAACGCATGAAAAACATTCATGACACGCCAACATATTCTGCTTTAAAGCCTTACTCTCCTGAGGAAGCTTACACACAAGATGAGTGCATCTGTGCGCTTGTGCACATTAATACACAGTGCAGATATAATAAAGGAGCTACCTTTGCCCGTGGGGTTGTTTTCAGAAGATGTGCTGGAAACCAATCAAAAAGAATTCAAAGGTTTACGACTTTTCCATGCTCGAAAAATCTCCACAATTGACACCAATACCGACATTGTGCACTGGATGCTAATAGTTTCTGATCCAATCATTCAGCATCCAAGAGGAGGAGCCATTACAAAAAAAGAAAACCATTTTCTAAGGAGGTGCTGGAAATGTTGGATGTGCCACTAGTAGAAACCATCGAAGACAAGGAAAGTAATGACGAAGAATCAATGGATGATCATGACGACAATGATAGTAATTAACTACATTGTTTACGACATAATTGACGTATAATTTATAATTACATGTACTTTAATTAAAATATACAAATTTGATTTTCAATTCTATTTTATTTTTATAATCTATAAATACCTTTTTAGGTAGGTAGGTACTTAGAAATCTTCTCAAATCTCAACACAAAGTAGCCCTATAGGTAAGAAATACATCTAAGCATAAATGCACATATTATTTCACATATTTCTTTTTTGACCCCCTAAAGTGGTCATTTTGCCGTATGTGCGGCGTGCTTGGATTGACTCGGGATTCCTTAAAACGGACCGATACGGGTATTTTAGTTCGAGATTCGTATAATCTCGCGTTTTAATCTTCGATTAAGGCACAATGGCACTATCCTATTCCACTTTAAACTATTATTGATTTCACAAAATAATTGAAAGTCAAAATAAAAACGACACTTTTCCCTCCAAAAGGTCCAGAGCGAATCCTACGGACAGAAGTAAAATTAATAAAGCCAAATCTTTTTTTTTTAATTTATTAAGGCTTTGGCAAAGTCAATAGCCTAAACATGAATTATTATAATTATAACAGTTTTAAATGTAATTAAAAAAAAAACTACTACAGTATGAAAGTTAAAAAAAGAAATTAAATATAAACAACTTACACTATTTTAAAGGTGCTATTTACAAATGCAAATATTACATTATATAAAATTGTGTGTTTTAAAAGCTCCTATACAGTACTGGGAATTGCTTTATATTCGAGAAGGTCTTGAGTTAAAGAAATAAGTAACAGACGTTGTAAAGAAAATTGTGGGCAGTCAAAAAACAAATGATTAAGGTCACAGTATTAAGGGAACAATATGTACATAACGAGTTACTATTTAACTTTAACCTAAACAAATGTGCAGGGATCTCACAATGACCTATGCGAATCCTGCTTAGAGTTGTTATAAAACCTCTACCATATATGTGGGATATCTCTCAAAGCAAGCCTAGGTTATAAGCACCGGGACTATCTCGGCAAGCCACTTTCCTTTAACTTCTCTTGTAAAATTTAGAGTGAGACACCATCTTTTGATCATATTTTCCTTAAGGCATAAAACCAAGTCTGAATGAGGAACTTTAAAATCACAGTAGTCTACATTTTCTGTCGATTTTGCTAGGGTATCGACTAGTTCATTTCCAAATATACCGGAGTGTCCCGGAACCAGGGCTAGGCAAAATACATGCTACATCTTAATTGAAATACAAATTACAAAATACTTCCTTAAATGTATTTAAAATACAAAACATCAAAAACTTTCTTGAGCTGTATTTGAAATACAAAATACTTTCATGGGGTGTATTTAAAATACAAAATACAAATACAAATTACAAAATATTTTATTAGTATACCTATCGCGACATGTGGAAACCAACAATTTCCTTCCACAATACATGTCTTGAAAAAGAAGTTTTAAATATTCAGTTTTACCAAAAAAAAACTGTTAAACCAATCAATACAACCATACTACAGAGCACAAAGTACATATAATTATTATTAATATTCCCATACATGATGAATACTGCACATACATGTAAATGTCGTTCATAACACGTTCACAGCACAAATTAGCCGCTCACGCGATAAGCTATCCCCATCTACTCGGCCCATAAAGGATACAAATGTGTAATTTAAACCAACCGCAAAATGGCGGCTATTTGGTTTCGCAAATTAGAGAAAAACATTCAGTTTAAATACAAGTTTTTATAAATAAAAATTATTATTCTGCATTGCTAAATAAATACCCTTCGTACTACCAACTAAAAAATTTCTAATAAAATGCAATACACCGCAAATCCTGCACTTAAAACGCGCAAATAAAATTTTTGATGTACCTACTTGGATAAATATGACAATATATTCCGTTTGAGTGGTTCTAACGTTTACCATGAAATTACTCCTTAAGTTTAGTTTAGTAACATTCACTGCCACTTTGCTCAAGCGGCTGCGATTCGGGCTCTGACGTCGCAGTCGATGTCTCCGGACGCGCTAAGTACAGATCCCAAGTATATAAACTGGCCCGTAGGCTCGACCGCGTCTTCGCCTATGCGAACGGGTAGGGGATCTGTAGCGTTGCAGACCATGTACTCAGTCTTCGCCACATTTAGTCTCAGACCGCCGTTCTCAAGCGACTCCTTCCACACATTCACTCGTCGTACCAGTCTCCCTCTATCCGCATCCGCCAGCGCAATATCGTCAGCGTACATAAGCATCCACGGGGGTTGCTCATGCGTGTCTCGGATGGAGCTTGAGACCTCGTCTAATATCACGCTGAACAGATAGGGGACTGAGAACTGAGCCCTGGTGAACTCCGACTGTGACAGGGAAGGGTTTAGTGTTACCAATAGCAGTCCTAACCATGGAATCGGAATCGCGGTACATGTCTCGGATGATGTCAATATAAGCTTCTGGTACCCCTTTGGATCTCAGTGCCCACCAGATCATTACACGGGGGATACAGTCGAAGGCCTTCTGCATGTCAAGAAACATGAAATGCAGAGGCGTATTCTTCAATCTGTATTTCTCCATGATGACCCTTAGGGCAAAAACAGGATCCATGGTCCCATGGGAACCCCATCGGCTCCGACAGCTTTCCGATTCTTCATGCGACGAAGAGCTAAGTGGACTTCCTCAGGCGTTACCGGTCGCACTAGTCCCTTATTCGGAGGGAGGACCGGTGGCTGCATCTCTCTGTGCTGCTGATTCAGCAGCTCGTGGAAATATGAGCGCCACCTCTCCTTCACCGCGTCGACCTCGCATATAAGGTTGCCATGAGGGTCTTTAATGCAGCGACACCTGGAAATATCTTGTGCCGCTAAGACCCTCGAACGTGCCAGCTTAAAGATAAGCTTCTGCCCCTCAGACGATTCCAACTTGTCGTACAACGGCTGCAAGTGGTCCCGTCTGGCTCTGGCTACAGCTTTCTTAGCGGCACGTTTGGCATCCCTATATGCATCGCGGTCTTCAGAAGATCCGGACGCTTGCCACGTTTTGAAGAGGGCTTTCTTCACCCTGACCTCCCTCTGGACTGTGTCGTTCCACCACCAAGTTTCTTTGTCACATTTGCGACCACCCTTGGACAAGCCTAGCACCGCTTTCGCCGCCTCAGATATGGCAGCCTGAATGTTGTCCCAGTGGTTCTGGACTAGATCACCCTCAGTGTCGGCGCATTTATCGCCGGTCGCTGAGATGAACTCCTGGGACGTGGTACTATCAAGCCGCCACCATCTGATTTGGCGTCGGCAGCGTTCAGCGGGCTTGTCGGCCGACTTTACGCAGAGATCCATGACAAGAAGACGGTGTTGCGCAGTGAGACTCTCACCTGGTATGACCTTGCAGTTGGCCACTTTGCTGATAT